TGATGTAGATACCTAGCACATCTCTTTCTCCCCTGTTGTCTCCAAGTTATGGCATGTATTTGTATGCTCAGACCTCATGAGATCAACGCACCTCTGTCCACGGTTTGTATATTTACCTTTATTTGGATTCTCCCAAAGAAAACTTAACCAAGGGTCTTAGTAGCCAGGAACCCTTACCCAGTCATGAAATCACAGGGATAAAATTTCTATATTGGAAGTGCAGCTGCCAAACTCTTCCAGTGCCCAAATCAGATAAGCACCAGTATTTAGAGATTTACTGTAAAGGTCTGGGAGGCAGGGGAGGAACAGGTTCAGTGTGGATCATAGGGCACCAGGCATGTGGAAAGTGTTTCCCAGGAGTCTCCACATGAAGATGAATGGATGCATGGAGTCTAAACACATGTAGAGATCCATATTATAGAGATGTGCCATGGGAACTTGAGCCACTGGTGTGTGTGTGCTGGGGGTACCTGAGGTACTGGAAGAACATTTTTATTACAGCCTGTAGACTTAAGTGTTTCTGACTGATCCCATCTTCGTCAGATTGTAATAGTGGTACCTGGATCACACACAGAGAAATAGTGTCCCCAGGTTCATGGTGTATTCCGATGGGACAATTGCTGTGGGTTTTATCTCACCCTATCACTCTATAGACAACGTCTAAAACATGGTTTATGGATCCAAGACAGTGACACAACTGTAATCCCAGCACACAGACGACCAAGGCAGGAGGATATATTTGGGTTGTTTTCTAGAGTTCTACTGCCCTAAACCTTTTTCAAAAAATGCTCTGTCAATTGACTCGTAATTGTTTCTCCAAACCTCTGATTTTTATAGCTCTTGGGCATTTACTAAAGCAATTATTGAATCTAAAATTATTCACCAAGAGCATTTTCAAAGTATTTAATTTCTAAAGCATGCTGTACATATTAATATTTTTAAATAAAAAGATGACTATTAAAACATATTTTCCAGATAATACAAATGCATAAAAATTGAAAACTCCTATTTAATAACTGAGCATGCCTTCTTATACTAGGAATTTTTACTGTTTCTTTTTCTCTACTCCTTTCTTCTCCCTCCCCCACCCATAGTAAAGAAAATTGAGCCTAGGGACTTGCCACAACCCCTACCCCCTTTCCCTTGGTTGTCCATTTAATACCCCACAGAATTTAACTGGTCATAATGGGTTTTTATATTTGAAAGTCTGCTTACCTTACTACACAATTCTACAATAAATTATAACATTAAACATCATTTTCTGTGATCCTGTGTCTTTAAGTGTGAAATTTTCCTCATTTTAGTTAATACACAATTGATCAAAAAGACAAAATTTATGAGAATATTTGTAAAATAATTTGGAATTGTAATCTTGACAGGAAGAGCCCAGGCTAGGATGCTGTCTCTGGAATATAAATGACAAAGAGGGAGGGGAAGGGAGGAGGGAGGGAGGGAGGGAGGGAGGGAAGGAGGGAAAGAGAAATGACTTAGGATATTTCTCTATATGATCCACAACAAAGAAGTCAGTGAAAAATTGGCAGAGAGGAGGTATAAAGCTATTTTCTAAGTTTAGTTACTGAAGCATTCAAACGCACAGTTCAGAAGAACACATCAAGTTGTTTGTTTTTAACAGCGAGGATAGAGCACAGGCCACACACATGCAGAGCACATGCTTTCCTGTAAGCTGAGTCTCCAATTATCACGTGACTATTGAGAATGGTCATCTCTGCTAAGCAGAATGGGCTGTTCACTTAGGAATATTTCCATTTTGTTCACAAAGAAAATAAACAGGGAGTTCATGTGACATTTGAAGTATTTATATATGTATATATTACATATATAATATATATATCTAAACTCAGTGTTTTAAGTTTGGCATCTGTAAAATAATTTATAATATATGCCCATTCGGTTTGAAACGAGTAGTAACAGCTATTTCCAGAAGACTGCTGTAAAATATTAGCAGTTTACAAAAGGCTTTATTTGCCTGATTAAAAAAAAAATCCCTTCAATAAAAAATAAACTCCAACACTACTTTTTTTTTTTTTTTTTTTTTGGTTTTTCGAGACAGGGTTTGTCTGTATTGCTTTGGAGGCTGTCCTGGAACTCGCTCTGTAGAGATCTGTAGAGATCCGCCTGCCTCTGCCTCCCGAGTGCTGGGATTAAAAGCGTGTGCGACCAACGTCCAGCCCTCCAGTACTTCTTAAATTACTATAAAGAACTAGGCACTGCACTGGTCTCATTGCGACTACTCAGTTTTACTACATCTAAAGTCAACAGAATCCTGCCTGGAACCTTGTTTCATGGCCAAGGCTGGAAAGAAGACAGGAATCTGCAGAGGAAGAAGTTCTGAGAACCACCACAGGAGCACTGGCTTCTGTCTCTTGAGGTTTTGTACTTGACAGACAGGAACCACGAGGCAGCAGGACTAAAATGTCTCTAGAGACTCCAACGCTTCAGGGTCATCTGAAGCACTCACCCCGTGGCTCTTTCTTCAAGACAGAGAGCACTGGCCGCCTCTGGACAGTAACATCCTCACATTTTAGATAAGACATCTGAAGGTCAGTAAGTCCGCCGGATCAAATGTTTATTTTTGGAAATGCTATTGGCTCTGCCGTTATTAGGTAATTAAGAACTGTGAAATTTAATTTGCAAGATGTTGTGATGCTTGATGTCTGAAAAACTGTTTATAGTAACAAACAGGAAACATTATAATCAAGTTTAGGAAGAAACAAAAATGAGCCGGCCCGTTGTTGGAGCATGCTTTTAATCCCAGCACTCGGGAGGCAGAGGCAGGCAGATCTCTGTGAGTTCGAGGCCAGCCTAGTCTGCAGAGCGAGATCCAGGCCAGACTCCAAAGCAATACAGAGAAACCCTGCCTCGAAAAACAAACAAAAAAAAAACAAAAAAACAAAAAAAAACAGAAAAAGAAACAAAAATGAGTTTTAATCCTCATTCTTTCATTCTTTTCCTGTGTGTGTGTGTGTGTGTGTGTGTGTGTGTGTGTGTGTGTGTGTGTGTATGGTAAAAATGTATCGATGATGCACTGTATGTATACAAGGGTGGTTCTCCACCAGCACATGCACTAGTGACATGGTAGCCCTCTTAGTATGTACAGACAAGACTCCTGCATGTTCACAGTTTCTAGACTCATATAGCCCTATGTTTACTGGAAACCATCTCAGCCCTTAAGGGGTACATGAGCACAATGAATGACTAAGACTAAGAAGTCAATGTCACCTACTGCCAGTACTGTAACCTGTGGATTTTCCTACCAGCACTCCCAGGATGTACTGGTGATAAGCAAAAATCAAATTCAAACCTCAGAACAAGACCCCTGAATTCATGAGCTTGTAAAAACTAAAGGCCATTCCAAAAACGATGCTTTCTTCTGAAACCGATGATTAACCCAAAATCCCACACAGTGCAAACACAATAAGCAGTAATTGGCGAATAGGGGCCGGGGAGACATTTCAGTCAGGAGAGCAGGGAGAGCTGAGTTCAACCTCAGAACCCACATACAAATACATGGCATAGTGATGGGCACTTAATGCTAGCTCTAGGGAGGTGGCCACAGGGGATCCTATCCATTGGCCAGCCAGCCAGCCTAGCCTAATCAATGATTTCCAGGCCAGTGAGTAGGGAAAACAAAGTGATCAGGGCCTGAAGGATGACACTCAGGGTTGACATCTGCACATGTGCTTATACACACACACACACACACACACACACACACACACACACACACACACACGCAGATATAGGAAAACAAATTTGAAAACTAAATACATCTAGCCTCACAATTTACATAAGGATAAATGCTACTAACACAACTCATTCGACACACGTGGAAGGCAATAATTTCAAAGTCTGAGAAATACAAATCCTTGAGGTTGGGAATTCAGTTTACTGATGAAAGTATTGGTCTAGCGGGCTCAAGGCTCCGGGTTCGATCCCCAGCACTCGCACGCGCACACACAATTATAATTGAAATCCTTAGCGTTAAACCTTTCAGACTTTTAGATAACCGTTTGCTACTCTTGTACTAAGTTCAGGCTATTTCTCAGGTGACTAGAAATGAGTCCCTGACAGCAGGCAGTTCTCCCTGTCCCTCATGTTTTGGATTTTTGATTTTGTTTTTCCCCCTGCAGTGTGGAAGGTTGAGCTGCTGGGAGTTATGTGTTTGGCATCTCAGGCTTTTGTTAACTCTTGGAACACCGGGTCAGGAGGACACAAAACTCTGTCACCTCCTCCCTGGGCCCTCACAAAGGGTCTACGGGGTGAAGACTAATACTCAGTGTCCACTTTCCACACAGGGGAACCAGAGGCCGCGTGGGAGGCTGGGTGGCCTGCCCACGAGGCGGGAGAACACGGGAGGCCGGGGTGGAGCACGGGCAGCAGCAGCAGCACCTCCGGGAAGGGGATGACACAGTACCCGTGGGTAGCAGGGGCTCCAGCGGGGTAAAGGCACGCTCCATGGCGGGCTATGGGGTTTCTGCGCGGGAAGGAAGAAAAAAAAAAAGAGGCTCCGAGTTAAGAAAAAAACTTCCCCAAAACCTCATTTCTGCAAAAGGAGTTGAGAGCGAGCGGCTCAGCTTGCACTCTGAACCCCCAGGGCACTGCGGGGGAAAAAGTCCCAGGGAGGAGGCAGCAGGACGAGGACCCGGGACAGCGGACCCCGAGAGAGCTTGCACGAGCCCGCTCTGCTGCGCTTTGCGGGCTTCCATCCCGGCACTGGCGGAGAGGAGCGGCTTCGGTGCCTCCCTCCCTTCGTCCCTGCCCCCGTCCCTGCCTCCCTTCCTCCCTCTGTCCCTCTCTCCCCGTCTGCTCGCCCGCGGCCCGCGCACCTTACACAACGGCGGGTGGAGACACAAGCGACGGATCCGCCGCTCGGCGTTCGGCTGCGGGGCCTGAGGCGCGCGCAGGTCGGTTGGGTCGCGGGAGGAGGAGGAGGAGCCGCCCCTTCCGAGAGGGGCGGTGGGCGGGGCGCCCGGGGCGGGGCGGGGCGCCCGGGGCGGGGGCGGGGCGCCCGGGGCGGGGGCGGGGCGCCGGGGCTGCGGTCTCAGTGCCTCGCGCTCCTGGGCTCGGTTCCCCACCCCTGGCGGGCAGGAGGAGATCCCTGAGCATCCTTCTCCTGCTGCCCTAACCCCTGTCCTCTGGGCCCACCTCCTTTTTCATTCCCCCGTGTCCTGCGCCTCGTGGAAGCAGGAATCCGACGGGAAACCCGTTAGAATGATTCGCCTTGTGGGAAGGCGGTTTCCTTTTCCCCCAAAGTGAGCCAAGCCAGAGGGACAGAGTGTCCCAGGCGGCCACCACCACCATGCCCAAACCTGCTTGGAGGACACAGGACTTGTGCGGGCCCTCGAGGTCTCTCTCCACCCACCCCTGGCCCAGTCCTTACACACACAGACTGGATCCTTGGGCAGGGAGATCTCCACAAGCTTCAACTGGCAGTGACAAGCCTTGGTGTGACTTTACAACCCCCTGCCCCCGACAGACATCAAAAGCACAAGCTTTAAGATGCCCTTGAGATGGCTAAAAAGCAAACTGGAGATGGCCGAGAAGGTTGTGTTTACAGGTGACCCGGGATTGATTGCCACAAGGCAAAACCCAGCAGTCAGAGGCAGGCCAGGGAAAAGGAAACGATAACCCGGATGGACTACCGATGATAACTCCTATCTCAAAACTATAATGTAAGAGCACAAACTTAACAAGCAGATGGAAATTTGTCTGTCAGCTTATAGGAGATAACGAGCAACAGTTGACCATCATTAAGTAGCTGCCTTTTGGTTACTGCAGAGGACTTCTGTGTTTTGTTCAGTTACTTATAAAAACGTGGTTACCTATAAAAGGACAAGAAATGATTTAAATCGTGACCGATGTTTACTCCTGAATCTTCACAGTCTACCCCAACTGCTAGTGAAGGTCAGTAAGTATTCACTGAATACTCACACTGGGGTTGGTTTTTCAATACTCTTGAATGCTACCTTTCTAGTTCTGAGAACTGACTCATCCACAAAACAAATCCCACCCCCTTAACCTTTAATCATCTACAGTTGATCCCCGCACACAGTTACAATCAGTGTCTGTAGCCATTTCACCCCAACTAGGTTCTCCACCTAAGCGGTCCACACACACACACACACACACACACACACACACACACACACACACACACACGAATGTATTTGTGTGTGAAATTAATTCATAGTAAAAGGAAAATGAAAACTGTAGTACATTATATCAGATATTCTTAAAACAACAAACCAAGCCTATAGTCCCCCATGGAATAACATCATTAACAGTAAATTTCATAGATAGGAATGGCAGAATTATTTCAGTTGTAGTTTTAAGTGTATTTGAATATTCTTAGAAGACGGTTAATGACGCTGTGGTGGTTTAGATGAGAAATGCCCACCCCATAGTCTGAGGTCTTTGAACTCCTAGTCCCTGTTGTTGACCCTGGGAAGGTTTAGGTATTACACTCTAGCTGTAAGAAGTCAGTGGCTGGGTCTGGGCTTTGAGATTAAAAGCTTTTGCCCACTTTCAGTTTGCTCTCTGTGTCATGCTGGTAGTTAAGGTGTGATCTCACAGCTTCCTACTTGCCTTCTTGCCATAACAGACTCTTATCCCTCTGGAACCACAGGCCAAAATAAACTGTTTATTCTTAATTTGCCTTTGCTGTGGAATTTTATCACAGCAACAGAAAAGTAACTAAGTAGATGCTCTTTGTAGAAGTCAATAGGTTGAGGGAAATAGTTTTTTCTCAAACACTGGGTATCATATGACATTTTAAATACTTTTTAAATTTTAGTTTACACAATAATTTCATGTATGTGACACGGTGTAACAATTTGTGTACTCAATATATGATAATCAGGTCAGAGAAACTGGTATATGTTTGTTTTGGTAAAGCCCAGATCCATGTATACCAGGCTAGCCTTAAAGTCACTGTACTGCTGAAGATGACTTCATACATCTGATTCTCCTGTCTCTTCCTCCTAAGAACTGGAATTTCAGTCATAACTATATCAGGGTTATATGGTTCTGGGTATCCGGCTAGGCAATTACTGTGCTAACTGATGTACTTCCCCAGTCAGATAATAGATGTATCTTATTAACTCCAACATCACCTCTTTGTATTTGAAATATTCAAAATACACCCTCCCCCAAGATCTGGGAACCATGATTCAATCCTTTCCTTTTTAAATATTAACATTTTAGATTCTGGATAACAGTAAGAACATATGCCTTCTGTATTTCTTTACCAACTTACTTCCCTTGACAGACAAAATGCCCTCCAGTACCATTCATGTTTCTGTAAATGCCATTATTTCATTATTTTTATAACTAAAGAATATTTAACTGGATCCGTCACATTTTTATTCATTTACCCATCACAATATCTTTGCGATTATGAATGCTAATTCAGTAAGCATGAGAGTTCAGAGTGTTTCACAGGGCATTTTCATTCTTTTTGGATATATGCCCAGTAATGGGACCACTGGGCCATATGGTGGTTTACTTTCAGTTTTAGGAACTACACTGTGTTTTCCACAGTCTGTGTGAACTTGAGAATTTGCCTTTCTTTGTATCCTTGTTTCCACTTTGTTCAGAATACTTTAGCTATTTGGGAATCTTTTGTGGTGCAAACAATTTTCTTTCTGTGAAAAGTATTGATATTTTGGCACAGTCCATTAAATACCCAGATAAGTTGGGGTAGTGTGTGTTAGATTATTTAAAGAGCAGTTGTGGAGAGAGGGAGCATGGAAATAAAGAGATGCTTTATTTGGTTTGACCTTAGGTGGGACAGTGTGTACTCATGGGCAGGGTGCACTTTTGTCACCCATATGGGCAAAGGGTTGAAATGTCTACAGAGGAAGATGGGAGGTGGCTCCTTATAGAGGTGGGAATGACATCCATAATCCTCAAGGACACTGAAATCAGAACGCCGAGAGGCTGTAAAAATGCAAGGCAGGAGTGTTATAACTGTTTTTTTTTTGTTGTTGGATGGTCCTTTAGCTTGGGGGTGGGCAGGTGTCTCAACTTGATCGACTAAAATGGATCAGACAGTCCATCCTACATTCCTGAAGGGACTTGGAAAACAATTATTAGGTGATTGTAAGCAGGTGGTCTGTTTACAGAGTAAAACTGAGATATTTTCTGGAAAGGTCGAAGGATAGGCAGGAACAGAACAGGATGCTGAGAGGAAGTGGGCATAGAGTTGACTCAGGGTGAAAGTGACCGGTCCCATTGCCAGGACGGCTGCACCAGAAAGAATTAGCAGAAGTGGCAGGGAACAAGAGAGTAAAGGAGGGCACAGGAGAAAATTCAAGAACTAAAGTGAAGAATTGTGTCTGACCAAGGGTAAAAAGGTGGAAGGTCCCTTTCAGGTAGAGTTTCCCCAGAACATCTAAAAGGTCTTTTGGCAGATACGTCAGGAACAAATGGAGCTATTGTAGGGTGAGAGCTATTGGGAGAGTTTGCATGGAATATTTTGTTTGGGTATAGAGGGAACTGGGATTGGCATTGTTACATCTGTAAACAAGCAGGTGTTGGATAGATGTTACTGCAGAAGTATTTTCTGAGTAGGGTTATAATGGCTTTCCACAAGATTGTAAAGCAGGCAGAGTCTTTCCTTGTTATTCTTTTTACCAGGCACACACATGTAGGATTCCATCCTTTATAATACTCCAGCATTATTTATATATCTGTCTGCTACTTTTAGTTTTTTTCCCTAGGGTCTGTTTTAATCCTCAGAACTTTTATAAAGGAATCTCCTACCAGTAGAGGATGTCTGTTTCCTCAGGATACAAAAAGGCTGCCCTATTTCCCTTTTCTGTCAAAGGCAAAAATTCAGTGGGCAATTATGAAGGTCATAATATCTGGGCAGAATGGCTTTGCCTTAGATTTTTATGGAGGAAAGTAGTCCTACCTTAGCTGTGATGATTTGCAGGCAGGGTTCTTTTCCAGCCAGGAAAGTCAAGGTCATTTGGCTGAATAGAAAATGTTTAGAATTGTGTTTAGCTAGTTTAGGAACATGAATACATTTTACCTTCTTCCACCAAAATACTAGTACATGCAGGCACACACACACACACACACACACACACACACACACGAGAGAGAGAGAGAGAGAGAGAGAGAGAGAGGGAAGTATTAAACGAGCCAGGGGGATCAAGTACATCACAAGAGAACACACAGAAACAACTAACCAGGGCTCACAGGAGCGCAGAGTCTGAACCAAACAGGCAGAGAGCCTACATGGGACTGATCCAGGCCCTCTATGTCTGCATATAGCTTGAGCTACTCGTGGGACTCCTAGTGGTGGGAACAGAACCTGTCCCTAATACTTTGGCTGGCTTCCAGAAACCTATTCCCCATACTGGGTTCCTTGCCCAGTCTTAACACAAGGGGAGCACATTCACACCTCAACTTGGTATGCCATGCTTTGTTGACACCCATGTTCATGGCCCTTTCTGAACAGAAACGGAAGATCGTGGATGGGGGGAATGGAGAACAGGAGGGAGGAGAAACTGTGCTCGAGATGTACAAGAAAAGAATAAATTCCATTGACTGGAAAAAGATCAGTATCTAGTATTACTGGGCAACTTTCAAAGAAAGGAAGCTTTGTGTATCAAGCTTACACTCACCTGAACAAGTGACTGCAAGCAAGGGAATCATATCTCTGTTGTCTCAGAGGGTAGAATCAATAGGCAGACTCGACGAGAATCTTTGCTTCTTAGGAAGAAACAAGTACAGATACCCTTTTAATTTTTTCTTTTTGTTTCTTCCTACCCACTATCATACCGACTATCATTCTTTGCTTTCACAATAGAAAACGTGTTTGATTTTTACTTTTCATCAAAACAAAACCTGATAATTGAAGTTAGGTTGCTTTTAGGACTGAAGCAAAGGCTGGTGAATACTTAAGATGGCTTGGGCTTGAGGGCACTTACTAAGTACGATAGATACTGAATGACTGACTGTGCATGCATAAAGCGTTTGAAATACACGGACAGAGTGGGGAATGGAAGCTTCCAGGGTTGAAAACGTCAGAGGTTAGGAGCTCAAGGGAGACACGACAAATGAGCCCAGAAGCCTGCACTGTAGTGTGTCGACACTCAGCAGCACTGTACTGAAAGCTTAGCAGTGTGCTGAAGGTGAGTTAACGGCTACTGCCCTGATGACAACTACAAGCAAGAAGGCTTGTGTGGAAGGGAGAGGTGCCAGAGCAGGACTGCAGCCACCAGGTGCGTGCAGGTCGGTTGGGTTGCTGATGGAGGAGGGGGAGGGGAAGGGAGAC